GGGGGGGGGGGGGGGGGGGGGGAATAGAAATGTACTGTTTTACATTGTCGTTCAATGTTCTGTATTTTTCTTTTTAAACTAAATTTCCGAAAACTGAAAACCTATGAATGCTTTCAAAAGATTCTTCTTTCAAAAGAAGTTTCAAAAGAAATTATTCAGAAGTTGCTCACAAGAACTTCTCCCGAATATGAAAGAATGAGGAGTTCTTTCATCATTCTTCAATGAATCCGACCTTGCCAAAATAACCAAGTTGCTCAAGAGCCTGAATCCCGCTTTCAGTAAGACTACTACCTAATTGGATTAGCAACAATGATTTTTTCAACCCCGAGAAAAATCGTAATATAAATTAAGCAAATTCGTCTTGATCATAAGATCATTCTTGAATTCGAAAATTTTCGATCTTGTTAGAAATCACTTCGGTTAAAATACCAAGTACCACTTGCACTAATTTAATCCGCTATTCTAAGTTCCGAGTGTGAATCCTCAGATCAGTACAAAAATGGGATTTTAAAATTTTTTTCAGAAACAGGCTAAAATATTTCTCCATGTGAAACAAATTTTGGTCTAGAATCAGTGCTTCCATGAATTTCTTTGAACTTCCGAGTGAACGCGCCCTTTTTATTTTATTCGTTTCAATATACGCAAAAAGAATTACCTAGAGTGAGCCCCGAATCGTTTTCCTCCGCGAATTCGACAACCACATATGACGCAATCCCAGAATCAGTTTCATTGCTATCATCGTGTCTTTCCGGCTCAGACTTCACGGGAACACGGGACGAAGCAGATTGGTTCGCATCTGCATCACAACCTTCAGGGAGAGATGATGTTGATGGTTTGATATCTTCCTTGATGTCCGGAGAACCATCAGACGATGATTCGTAATGGCACGGGGAAAGCGCAGAGTTGCTCGAATTCGTCGTTCTCCCGTAACTTGCATCCATGAAGGTTACCGAATCGGACGCAAACAAGTCGTTCGAGTCTTCTGTTAAACAGATGAAATATCGTTAAAATTTAGAACCCCCTTTTCGTGACGCCCCCGCGATAAGGAAAAAATTGTTCGATAACCCCAACAACAAAATCACGAGGCATTGAATAAAGACAAGCCGACAACATACAACGAACGAATTTTAAACCCCCCCCCCCCCCAAATATACAGGATCTGCGAATGGAAAATCCTTCATACCGGCATTTTCTATACAGTAATACCACCCCCTCACCCACTTGGCACAGGAAAGAAATGCGTCACCGCGGAAAATTCCCCACTCATAGTGTTTCTTCAGCCGGAATTTCTGCTTGGATTGCTATCGAAGGTGAAAGAAACAGAAATAAAAAAAACTTACCGCTATCCTCCAGTCCATTCACGCTGTCGATCTCAAATGATGGACAAAGAGCTCGGAATTTTCCTAGAACACTCGAAGGCGGAGACATCTGCGCTTCCTCGACCATTTCCGCCATATTCACGAAGTTGCACCGAAGAACTCACCAGTTCATATTGGAAACTTTCATGAGAATCTGCGAATGGGTAGTAAAATGGTCAATGCATCTGCCATAATTAGCAATTAGAAAGGTCATCAATCACTACTTCAGAATACCATCTATGAAAATGAAGCAGATCAATTTGAGTATGAATGAATGCTCTGGTCAATAGGGAGAAAAAAAAATTAAGAGAAAAGCAACCGTTATCTAGATCAAATTTACATCTCGCTTGAAAAGTTTCACAAGATACATACTTCATTCAGCAATGCAATTATTCATGGGTGATATTCGTCTCGGTGGCTTAAACAGTTGACTTACTGCTTAGAAAAAAATATGCAATCCAATTTCATTGAATATTCCTTTCAATTACTGTATCTCTCATTCAATAGGTTGAAGTGCTTCGACACGAACGACAATGCGATTGGGAAAGGTTCAGCCATGCACAAATCTCCAAATGATCTCTCAAACCTGTCTTTTCCTTCTGCTTATTCATTAATCCAGATATATTCAGGAGTTTATCTGGAAACAACCGCAATCTGCACGGTGTGATAGATGTTATTCTGAAGCGGCTAGAAACCAATATACATACACAAAAAGCTCATTTAATCCCTAACGCACCGAAACGAATGTTTCACAACAAATACCCATGATGGACTCGAGCAAGGTCAGGTTCAGCCCATAACGTGATGCAGATAAACGGTGTAAATCTCGCAGGTAATTCGTTTGATCACAGGCTGCACTCCAGACCACACGGTATACCGCTCTTTTCACCGTTTCACTAATAAACAAGATCATCTTGTCATATCAACCGGGGTCGAGATTCATCATCGGACGCAAAAACGGTAGCTGAAAACCGCTATGCTGACTTCTTGAGGTAAACGCGACACAGTTTCGCAGAAAAAAATCTTTCAAAAGATGGTCTTACGCAAACTTTTCGCGCTCGAACACCAATTCAACAGCGCGATAAACGTTCTCGCTGACGAAGTTGGGCTGGCGCAACGACTCTTCCACTGGCAAAAAGTCGCGTGGAGAATGTTCACTATCGCTCATGGTGTGGTCACCGAATACCCCAGTCTGGAACAGTATACAGCATGACGCGATACATACACAAAGCGGAAACGTGATACAACAAAGGAATTGTGCAATAATAATCATAATTTAGGTACAGTACTTCCTCTCAACAATGACCTCTTTTCATAGACTTACGAAGTGTCCCTACTGCATTCGCTCAATCGCTAATTTTGGGGTTAGATCAGCCGACCAAGTTGAAGCTACCTTGAATTGCCTTTAGAAGATTTTCTTCTGGGTTTCCAGACTTTTCTCAATTACTTTCATCTATGTTAGACGAAGGTTTCACCTACTCTGGTTCACGAATGCCTGTACACTGGTGGACTCTGTCTCTCTGAAGCAAAACTATGGTGACCAGAAAACTTCGTTGAAGAGCTAATTTCGCCGTAAAGAACCTCTCTCTAACGTGAGTAGAGAACCTGATGGGACCACACAAAATTCGTTATACGAAGAAAATCTTTGTAGAGAGTATACTTGTACAATGAAAAAATAAAGATGAAGTGAGTATCGCATTCAAAAAAGAACTACTTCTACAAGATTAGGTAGATATTCCCAGAAATAAGCATACCTGTACTAGGATGCTGTAGCAACGCTCGGCCGTGAAATCGGAACTCTGGGGGCCGTCTTCATCTTCAATAAAATGATGAACACCGCGACGAGCAATCTGCAAAATCGACTGTCGAGCTGGCTTGTTTTTTCCAGACCAAACTCTCCTCAAGTACTTGTCGTACAAATTAGCACCGAATATATCGGTATTCACGTTGTCTCTGCAAACCAAAATCCGAAATAAAACTCTTCCACTCTTGAAAAAAAAGTTTCGCTTCAGTACATCTCATCTTCAGTAAAACAATAAGGTTTTAAAGCATTGCAATTAGTCCTTTCGAGCCATCCGCCAGAAGATAACCAGACCGCAATTCCAAAGTCATGTAACAATTCAATGAAACTACATGAAACTACAGTACATGGCTAAAATGTTGATTCGCAAATAATTTTCCATTTAAACGTTGATGTCAACGAGATTTCGCGATACTAGCATAGTGAATCTACTATTCAAAGAAGAAATTAGCTGATTTACCCAGAAAATTTAAAAATATTGCACACATATTCTACTCTTGCAAGAGTATGAGAACGCGAAACTTGCCCAATGCAGTACAACGTCTTCACAGCACCAGGACAACCGATTGAAATTGCATGTTCCAAAACCATGCGTTCAGCATGATGATACGTAATCTCCGATGGCTTACCGATCAGCGCTGTGTAAATCAATTCGTGTCCTGTTATTTTCTTGTACAAATTCTCTAAACAAACCAAGAATGCCCCATGTCCAAACCTGCAGAAGAAAAAAGAATTGTTTTTGGATTACAAGTACGATTTAATTTGTTGGAGCATTGAAAAATTTGAATGAAAAAAACTAACCGGGGCAAGCAGGCCTCCGCCATCCAGTGGAGATCTGTATTGCACGCAAGTATTGGTATGTGCGGGTAAGGAAGCTTCTTCGGCAAAGGCGGACATGGTTTTCCATTTGTGGTCAAAGCATCAACGATCAGCTGAAGACTAACCTCCCATCTAATGGGTTCACCAAAAAGCACGACAGATTCAATAGCTGGAAAGCGCTCTTCGTGTGGATTGGGCTGGGAAGAAATTACGTAACTTAATATTACTCTGAGTTGCAAACAATTTCAAACTTTTGTCCAACCTCTCTCGGTGATCTATTGTGATCCAAAGAGTCCAACATAGGAAAAGCATTACTGAACTCGTCTATCGTGACAATGTGCTTGAAGCCCAAATTCGCGGCAATCTCACGCACAGGACCTTGGCCACTGACGAGAACTTTCTTGTTGTGAAATTCTTTGAACATTCTCAGAGGAGAATGCGCCATGACGACTTGATCCTCGTGAATCTTCAAATGAAGATGAAAACCTCTGAATGAAGTTAAAATACTGTACTAAATGAATTACGGTATACTACTCACAGGTACTCCCAACCATTTTGTCAACTGCTGCGCTTTTTGGGAACGCAGCGAGTTTCCGGAGTTTGTGAGGAAGACAGTAGGGACCCGAAAATTACCAGTTCCATCGATTAATTTGCTAAAGGCTTTCGGGGCTACAGGCAAAACTTTCTTTCCACGAACAAGGACCCCATCGATATCGAACAACAGACCGAACGAGGGAGGGGGTCTCTGAGTTGAAAGATTAAATAATTACTTCAACAGAATTAAAAGGGAAAATTTTCCACAGTTACTCACCATTTTTTAACGAAAAGCACAGCTATGAAGGAAAGTCAATCACAACCTTCCACATCAGTTCATCTGGCAAAGGGAACACGTCACAGAACTTTCTACAGGAAATCACATTTTGTTAGATAATCACCAGTCATCACGCTTATGAATGCCTCCATGCGGTTCATCTAAGCTCCACAATTCAAAAACAATGAACTAAACAATCCCAAAAACGAGCGTAGCACAGAAACACAATACTGAAAACTGCATCGTTAGGAGGGCTTCGCGTTATCTGTCTTGAGAACTTAATAGGCTATCATATGCAGAAGCAGTTTTCTAATTCAAAGCGTCGATCACCTCGCCCAAGAGGACATTTTCAAGAGTATGGCATGGCTACCTTCACGTCTTCACCATCCTGCCTTGGAATTCCGGAAGTGTGACATAATTCATTGGCTGAACCAAAAGCAAAGACACCGATACGTTTTCCACGAATTACTATTGAAATGTTAATCAATTCAGAATTAGTCGCCCGTCCTAGATTCCCCGACTCGAAATAATCCACCCATGACAACGTGTTTACACATCGCGAGCAAGTTCTCAAGTGCTAAGATGTTCAGGGTCAGAAATAAATTCAGGAGCTTAGCACTGTGAGTTTTAAAGTAAATTACAGTACTGTATTTTACCTTCCATCCAAAATAACAAACTTATACGCAGCTGTGGCGCTATTTGAATGTCCTTGGTACAGCTAGATTTTTCGAATTCAGTTTGATAAAAATCACATCCTACTGAATAGTATCAATCACTAATTCACTAATGACTTGGAGAGATGATAGGGTTACCCGTGCATGAAAACAGTGATGTGCGTGCCCGAGTACGTTAGAGTCTTACATATGGTTTGGAGCAGTGACACCTAGCTGTAGTAAGCTGTCTGCGAACGGAACGAATCAAGTTTTCTGTGGATAATCGTTGTTCGTCATCCCGCACGAAGCGACGTGTCCGACCTAGGAGGTGTAATTGTCTGACGATCCCGTGTGGGTGAGGTCGATAGTGAGATTGAGATTCTGGCACTTGTACGCTGACTGCTAGAGCGTCTTCGTGAGTGAATGAAAAGTTGAGGGGGAAATTCCTGTAGTATTTCTGTTGGACTCTTCATGTCGTGAATGTGTACTGAATTACTTGGCACTTTCAAGTGCGCTTCCTCTGCAGGAATACGTGGAAGTGTTGAATTCATCATGTTGTTCTTAGAAGAAGCATGAGGCGTGCCGTTCGGCTCTGCGGCTAGCTCCGTATTCGAAATTAAGCGAGAGATTTCGTCAAGCAGGTTGGCCACCGCCTCGGTGTGATTCTCCCGGAAGAAGTCAGAACCTTTAGGAGCATGGATTGTTCTCAGCTTTTAGCGATTATTTGTACGCTAATCTCGATTTGCTCAGCGGTCGAGCTTACTTTCGAACTTCCGGATAATGCAAAAGAATGCTTTCACGAAGAAATCCAGAAGGATACGCAAAGCACGTTGGAGTTCCAGGTTGTCACGGGTGGCCATTATGATGTAGATGTTACGATCGAGTCTCCGACTGGCCAGATTCTGTACCAGCAAGTCAAGAAACAATTCGATTCATTTCCGTTCAAGGTTAGGATTATTTGCTGATTCTCCGTTGAACGGGATATTCAATCAATATTCTTTTCCAGGCGGATGTCACTGGACCTTACTCAGTTTGTTTCTCGAATGAGTTCTCAACTTTTAGCCACAAACTAATCTACATGGATTTTCAAGTGGGGGACGAAGCCCCGCTGCCTGGTCTGGGTGAGCATCACACTGCGATGACGCAGATGGAGTCAGCTGCTCAAATAATCCACGAAAACCTGAACACTGCGTTAGATACTCAAACGTACTTCCGCCTTCGGGAGTCTCAGGGGCGGAAAAGAGCTGAAGACCTTAACGAACGGGTTTTGTGGTGGTCTGCGGGACAGACGATAGCTATTTTATTGATTGGTGTTGGTCAGGTCATGATCTTGAAGAACTTTTTTTCTGAGAAAAAACCGTCCCATTTACTAGCGTCGCACCATTAGAATTAAAAAAAGTTCCTTACCGTTTTCTTCTACAACTGCAGTGTTCTGAACTTGTGCTGTTTTATTTTGAAGTTATATTTTGGCGAAAAACTTTTTTCCTGCCCTCTCCCAAAGTATTCAGCCTTGTTTGTTTTTGGTGGAAAGTTGATTTGATTATGCAGTGATTGATAAATCGTTGATTTTTATTTTCGCGCACGGGAAAATCTGATTCGAGTGCATGTGCTGAGGATATGCAATTTGTCAACGTGTTGGGATGAGGAACCAGGTTGTACCACCCTTCTCTGAATTTTTTTCTTCATTGATCATTGCAGTCTTTATAGCATACTTTTTCATTTCAAGGTGCCTACCGGCTTCTTCCTGGTTCAGTCCTCGGTGGATTGACCAGTTTTACGTTGAAAAATGACGCGTTGTTTCGATTATGTGTTCTTTGTTCTGTGTTTCCTTCGTGGGGGCGAAAGTTTGCTGGATGCAGGACTGTGGAATTTTTCCATAACCGCCGCGCACTCTTTCATTGTTGTATCCAAGGCGATGTACGCCGGGTCAAACGTCACCTTGCAAGGTTAGTGCATTAGTTTTACGTTCACAAGTAATTTCGTTTTATGCTTCATTAAATGAGGTTTGCTCATGATCTGATTATTTCCCCCCTGGTTTTGTTACTCAAGCCCCGTTTTAATACTGTGCCGTACTTTTTACGTGCCATTTCGACTTGGTCAAAACCACCTAACTACGGTATGAACCATTTATGCTCGAAAGAACAGCGAAAGATCAATGCGCATTTGCATTGAACTTAAGTGATATGGGTTTACAATTTTTTAATGTCTTCTTTTTTTTTAGATAGGCGTATCACTCGACCGATAAAGGTGTGAACACAGTCAAACCCCGATAAGCCGCTTCCTTTGGCAATCGCCAATTTATTTTGAAAAGCAAATCTTTTCTAATTTTAAAAGCATTGGAACGCCATTGAATCCCTTTGAATTGAATCCCTTTGAAACGCCATCCGCCAAAATTATTGACAACTCAAATATGCTCTTGTTAATTAATCATGTTTCCAACTTCAAAAAAGCACAAGCTCAAAAATGACATAATTAACTTCTTATGAACATTGCTAGATATAGTATAATGTACGCATCCAAGGGTTATTTACTTATTTTGATCGTTTTCTAGAGGAATGCGGATTTTGTTTGATTTCATTTTCATATTACAGTATTTTAGTTTTTTTGATACACCACCAACCCTTTTTAAACCCGTCGAAACCGCTACGCACGAGCAAATGGTGTCGGCTTATCGAGGTTCGCCTTTATTCTAGAGTTATAACTAAATTCCAGGATTCATTCCAATTGTTGTTTGACCGGTCTTCTTTTTTTCCTGGTCGAATAGCAAATAATTTAGCTGGCATGCAGTAAAGAATGGACTCTTAAGTCAGTAGCTCCGCATGATCTATGCATTTTTTTTCTCGAAATGAATCGAGCGTCACCTGATGATGGCCATTAACGCTTGATTCAGTCATCCAATTTTTCCAGGCTTAATAGAATATTTAATTTCATAGCTACGTGTCGTGAGGGCTTGGATGGATCAGCAATTTTAATTGAACACGTGCTGCGGCGAGATCAGTGCTGGGAAGAATATCTGTATTTGCAAGGCATGGAAGACATTTATGGGAAAGAACTGAGCGACGATCGACGTCAAGCCATTGAGCATTTTAAAAGCATCTTCGAAAATCCCCGATCGAGTTTTCTGGAGGGACTGACTTATACCAGTACTGAATATTCGCGTGGGGCTCTCAACTTGACTTGTTCGTCGGGTACTGTAGTCAAAGAGGTGCGTAATATTTTAGTTGTCATGGGGGTTTCTGTGGTGTTGATTTTGAGACGGTTCTTCATTAGTCGATCGGATTTTCGGATGCAAATGATACCAGCTTGAATGAGGACATGCTCGTGACGTTGCTTTTGCGAGTGAAGAGAATTCGCGATGACGACGAACCGGTTCCCGGAGCATTTTCTATGTCACCGTCGATCACTATAAAAATGCGGGGTGAACACGGTTTTCTTTCAGCCGTGGATTGGCCACTTCTTCCTGTGAGTTCAGTGTTTGCGGATTTATGAAATAAATCTTTGAATTTATCGCCGCTTAAATACTGTATCTTGAATTGTTAACGATGTGCGCAAAATTTATAAGCTGTACTTTTTAAAAATTATCATTCTATTGTGTTTATATCTCGAGTAAAACTCTCGCTGAATATACGGTATTTCAAGAAATTTTTAAAATATTCGTGTTGCTGGAAAATTTATTTTTAGAAAATTTGAACGGGAAACCCCATTAATCTTCATATACCGCTGTTTCTATGCATTTGTGCTTACGGGAGGAAGCAAACGGTTTCCTTTAGATAACTGAGGTTTAAATTGAACGGTTATTGAGACCGTAAATGACATCTAACCACTTTTGGAACAATTCTTCATTGTCAGGGATGAAGTAATCATATACCGTACCGTAAATCGGAAGGGGTTTCAAACTTTGCTATGCTAAATGCAGAGTAACTTCCTGGGCTCGTATGCTTGAAATAGAGTCGTCCGTTCGAAATTGATTCGTGAGAACGGTGAGAATAAAAAAATCTTTTTTAATAATTTTTTCTAGTTCTATGCCACGATGTGCACGATCTACGTTTTGTACGCGATTGCTTGGATGACTTTGTGCTTCATGCACTGGAAAGACATCTTGCAAGTACAATATTGGATCGCTGCAGTGATCGTGATGGGAATGACGGAAAAGGCAGTCTTTTATGCCGAATATTCGAGCGTTAATTCAACCGGCAAATCCATTAGCGGTGCAGTCGTGGCTGCAGAAATCGTGTCCGCGTTGAAGCGAGCGCTTTCGAGAATGCTCGTGATCATCGTTTCCATGGGATTCGGGATCGTGAAGTAAGTTTTATTATGAAATGCTTTTTTATCGAGAGCTGCGCGTAATTTCTTGTGCAAAGTCGTTCGACTCTTTCGGGATATCCTGAGTTGATTTGAGTTTTACCAAAAAACAATTTGATCTAATGGGAAAAAGCTTTTGCACTAGATCAGGGGAATGCGATTATCACATCTACAACATAATCCAAGCGCCTTTCCAATGACCTCAGCACGTTCAAGTAGTTCAACGTGAATAAGCCTACTGTTCCGAGGTGAACTGTATCCAAAATACCGCAATACTTCGCGTTTAGTACGTTAATACTAGATCTCTTGATGAATTCAAACCTTGGATAAATATAATTCATTAGGGTAGTAAGAAGCAAAAATATTGTGGAACGGTTTTTCTGATTTTCTAAGATTTTCTCTTCATAGCTAAATTAATTCTTGTGCGCAACACTGCAGTATTATTGATTTCGTGATGGACCTGAACGTAATCGTGGCTATCCGTGACATCTACTAATATTAAACTGTACTACGTATAATAACTTTTCATTGAACCAATGAAAATTATTTTCTATGATTTAAGTTTATTCCGTTGGATCATAAAAAAAACGCGTCTATGTGTACACAGGCCAAGGCTGGGACAAATGATGCCGAGAGTTTTCCTGGCTGGAGGACTGTATTTCGTGCTCGGTTCGGTGGAAGGATGTCTACGAGGGTTGAGGCCAAAGAACGATGCCTCGGGTGACCTATTCGTGACACTAGTTCCACTGGCACTTCTCGACTCCGTCATTTGCTGGTGGATTTTTGCGTGTCTCGTTCAGACCCTTCGAGCCCTGAAGCTCAGAAGGAATATTGCCAAAACGTCTCTTTATCGTCACTTTGCCAACACGTTGGCATTCGCTGTTATCGCGTCGGTGGTGTTTATGTTGTGGTCGGTGAGGTACCACAGAATGGAACTTTGTTTGCAGAGCTGGAAAGGGTTGTGGCTAGACGAGGCTTTCTGGCACATGCTTTTCTCTCTCGTGCTTTTGGTTATTATCGTGTTGTGGCGACCGACGAAGAATAATCGAAGGTACGCGTTCTCCCCTATTCTGGATAGGGGAGAAGATGAGGAGGACGAAGAAGGAGATGATGAACAGTTGTTGTTTTCCGCTGCGGGTGAGATATTTGTAATATTTTGCTCATTTTTTATATGGTATTTAGATCAATTTCAGGAGAGAAAGTTAAGCATGTCTGTATCCTAATGAGGAGAGATTTGTCTTTTTATTTATTTTTTGCCCTCTTAGTGTGAAAGGAATGTGTAATATTCGAATTATTCTTCGAAGGCGAATATCAAATAAATCAAATCTAGTCTGAGGCAAAAATTTTACGTTCACAGAAATGTAATCTGAGCGAATTCAGATTACAATTTAAACCAGATGGTGGTTTCCCCGTGCTTCCGAAACGAATTTGAAGCGTATTGTTGATTGTGATGCGATGTTTGTTCGACATATCGGGTTTATTTTGTGTTGCATTAAATGTTCACATTTCTGATAATTTTTAATCTATTACCCAAGATTTTCAGTGAGGAGCTGTAACGATCCATTTTAAACCTCCTTATTTTATATTAAACATGTTGCACTAATTCGTTGACTTTTTTTTTTATAAAAAAGAAAAGCGATTCTGCTTGAAGTGATATATTTTCCGTGAAAATAGGAATATTGTGGATTAATTAGTAGGATTAACTTCATCGGATTAAAAAACAATCACGTTGTATTTAGAAAAAACAATTTTGAGCAGAATTTTGATCAGGAATTTCAACCTGAGGAAATTATTTTCGCCATTTTTCCATCAAGTTTCCTGGTAGTTTATCTCTGACAATTCCATTCGTCAATAAGGAAATTTGTGGGATTTTTTCTTCTGAGTGCAGTACATTTCCATATTTTTAATATTTGAGAGAATTCGCTAATTTCTTTTTTTTCATCGAGCAATTTTTCTGTGAGCAGAAGAGCGAGGGATGCGTGTTAGGAAGATGTCAGGTGCACGACAGCTCAGTCCTGGTGATAAGCTAAAGCAGAAAGAAGAACGTAAGAAGAAAGAGCTTGAGTCCAATGAATGGAACTCGACGAATTTGCCTCCTTCTTTTGCTGATGCGTAAGTATTTCTTCTGTTTTTTTTCGTCAATTGCGATAACTGAAAATTTTACATTGCTTGCCCTCAACCACCCCCCCCCCCCCCCCCCGAAATTTGATCTTGTTGAAGATAAATTGTATTAATGCTGTTTATGTCGACGTCATTGAAAAGTTGTGAAGTTGGCTAATCATTCATTGGGAGTATATCTCCCCGTAAATGAAAATCGCTTTGAAGCATCGTGTTTGAGTAATTTTTTCTACACATTGAAATACTAGATATGTCAGACCTCTCTTAAGTCCATTATTTGCTTCACCGCCGCAGTCGCCGAAATTGTATGCCACAATTAGTTCGGCCAAGTTTGTTCAGCTTTAAGTGATGTGTAATTTCGGCCAAGTCGTCGATTGGGGTGACATCTGTCTGACGGGAAACTAGTTAAGCTGTTTGAAACGCTCAGTTTATGAACTTGCAATTCTGTACTCTTTCGATTAATTTGTTTAGCGTAAATTTCAATTCTGGTCTCTTGAAACCATCGCATGGCCTTCGCTTACTTTTTGTCGAATTATTTCTTTTTTTCAAGTGTTTTTATTCTGTTGATACTTGAGGTGAGTAATTGCTGACGTGGCCGAACCGCTTGCATATTTTTAATGAGACTGATAACGTTATTGACTCTTTCTGCGTCTTGTTGGTTCTCGCTGTTGATTTTCTACTGGAGTTTTTCACGTTTCCTGTTTTTAGCGCAATCCCGGCGTTGATTGATTCGGAGGAGGAACTTGTGAGCACGAGGCTCGAGTTGTCAAAAGTGGACTAGTCATCGTTCATTCCAACAACGTTCAGTTGTATCCTTTGGTTGACTGGAAACAAAAGTTGCACAGTTGGTTGGTATGTACACGTTGTTGTGCTAGTGTTTTCCATTCAAATTACCTGCACGCAATTTTTATATTGAGATACCGGAAAGAAATCAAAGTCGACGAAGTTCTCCTGTCCTTTTTGTGTTTTTGAAGATCCGAAGATTTCAAGTAATTCCTGTGGAAATGGAGAGACGAACCAGTTTTTTCATAGTATATGAACACATTTTTGACATGACCTTCAAGTTAGACGCATTTTTTCGAGCTTCCTTGAGAGTGCTTAATGATGCGAATGGCTCTCCTGAAATTGTATCCCGTCATGTAGACGTGCAGTGACGAAAGAACGGTACCCAGAAACTAAGCCTACTAAAGTGTAAAACGAGGCAAGCCTGAAGTTTTTCATTTGGTCCATTATAATTTAATTATAAACAGTACTTAGAAGAAGTGAAAAGTCAGCCTGGAATTTAATCTTCACAAATATGTATGCTTCTGGTGGACAGAGGATTCAAATTCAAAATTTTGGGCAAATTAATGCTACCACTAGACAATTCCCGAGGCAAATAATAATTTGGCTATGACTAGAATCATCTCTGGAAGCATTGAAACAAGTTGAAAGCTTTTTGAGAAAAGCATTTAAGCCATGAGTTCGGTACTCTTCCAATATACATTATTTTTTATTTAGTTTGCCGCGAAAGAAATTAAAGAATTTGGGAAAACGCAGTGGAGGACTCATACGACTAATGAAAAATCGCCCGATGATTGGTTTCTGTGAAGAATGAAATACTTTCACAGAAACGTACCAAATGATAGTCGCTTTGTGCCTGTTGAATTCAAAGCGAGATTTCAGAATAATGAGTAGAATTAATTTACGCAATTTTTATATTGAGATACCGGAAAGAAATCAAAGTCGACGAAGTTCTCCTGTCCTTTTTGTGTTTTTGAAGATCCGAAGATTTCAAGTAATTCCTGTGGAAATGGAGAGACGAACCAGTTTTCTCATAGTATATGAACACATTTTTGACATGACCTTCAAGTTAGACGCATTTTTTCGAGCTTCCATGAGAGTGCTTAATGATGCGAATGGCTCTCCTAAAATTGTATCCCGTCATGTAGACGTGCAGTGACGAAAGAACGGTACCCAGAAAATAAGCCTACTAAACTGTAAAACGAGGCAAGCCTGAAGTTTTTCATTTGGTCCATTATAATTTACTTAGAAACAGTACTTAGAGGAAGTGAAAAGTCAGCCTGGAATTTAATCTTCACAAATATGTATGCTTCTGGTGGACGGAGGATTCAAATTCAAAATTTTGGGCAAATTAATGCTACTACTAGACAATTCCCGAAGCAAATAATAATTTGGCTATGACTAGAATCATCTCTGGAAGCATTGAAACAAGTTGAAAGCTTTTTGAGAAAAGCATTTAAGCCATGAGTTCGGTACTCTTCAAATATACATTATTTTTTATTTAATTTGCCGCGAAAGAAATTAAAGAATTTGGGAAAACGCAGTGGAGGACTCATACGACTGATGAAAAATCGCCCGATGATTGGTTTCTGTGAAGAATGAAATACTTTCACAGAAACGTACCAAATGATAGTCGCTTTGTGCCTGTTGAATTCAAAGCGAGATTTCAGAATAATGAGTAGAATTAATTTGTCTTTCTGGAATGAAGAGGGCGGAATTTATGGCGATCTAGTTGAATGCGTAAGATTGCTTTCAAAAGAGGATAACTGAAAAAGTTAAGCTTCATCCGTTGTATTTATTGTGATTTTTTTTATGAAAGTTGCGTGCCGAGTTTTTTGAACTTGAGGAAAATGCTCAGCACAATAGACCAGGGGTGTGATGCGTCATCTGTCGGTGGTTTTGAAGGGATTTTTCGAGTCGTGATCTCGATGCGCACGTTTTCTCAAGTCACTGATTTGAAGTATTCGAAATGTCCGATACCCATCCAAATGGTTCATATTTTCTTGCCTACGTTTTATGAATTCATCCTCGCGAGAAGGGATTTATGAGAATTCATCCTGGTAAGACGGTTTTTTGTTTTGTTTTTGCTTATGTGACTCGCCTGTACTCAAAATTAACCCGCTTGCTTTGAAATGTCGTTTCCGGGCGAGAATTTTCGTTGAGTTGATATTTTTTCTTGGATCCTTTTTCCTAGAGTCGTGGTTTCAACAGAAAATTACTGAAATTCTGGTGAACGGTTCGAGCATTGAAACTCGAACGTCGTGAGAAATAGCACAAGAAGTGAAGGCGTGAGGAACAGTTGCCAAGATGCCCCCTATTGAAAAAATTGCCTTGAAAGACAAAAGTATGGTTGAAAATGATCGCATTCCAAAAGAGCAACTGAAACAACTTCGTAACGCAGATTCAGAAGGGTAGAAAATATTTCAGAAGTGGAAGAGAAGGTTGTTACTGTGAGGGGAATTTTCTAGCCTTTTTTTTTTTTTAAATCGACGAAGTGCTTGCTCGGGTTTTTCTCCCCATTTTCGCTTGAATCGGCGTTTTTACTCGAATCGTGTTGAGGCACCGGAGTTTTGTGATGTTCCCGCAGTTTTTCTTTGTGATTTGGATTTGCTGAAATTGGCGAAAAAGCATCTGCGCAAATGTATGCTGTTGCGTATCCGTGCGTTTAAAATTTCTGTTGACTTGCGGAAAAAACGCCATTTTGATGGATGGGATCTATTCTAATTGTAGGCAATTCCAGTTGTTCGACATATATTTTCCCGGGAATTCTAGGCATCTCAGTGATTCGATTCAGTTGAAAGGAGAAATAATTTCCATTATTTGCGCAGAACGGCGTATAACTTAATATTTGATGAAGAAGGCAGTCTCTGGATGTGAAATCCGCGTTTGAAGAATTCAAATTGCAAAGAGAGCGCAAAAACGGCTTCAAAAGAATTGCCTTGCAATAAAAATTGAATTTATTTTTAATTTATTGGATTTGTAACTAGATACGAAGCAACCTGCGTGTAATAAAGGTATTCTAAAATGTTTGTGTCGATACAGAATGAGCTCAGAAGGCATGGAAATTTAGAATACTGCACCGTAATAATAGAACATTTTTGTGACTGCCGGTGACATCTACTCACCCTGAAACAACTGCCCGTTGCGATGGGCTACGATGAAGCATTTGGTGTACTGTATTTTCTCATTAATGAATTACTCGGTGCACATTAACTCTCAGAACATCCCAGGGAATTAAGATGGCGTATTTTTCGAATATTTCTGAGTTTGAATTCACAGGAAAAAAAAACATTTTCTGACGTGGTTTTATGCATTTTTTGAAAGGCTCTTGGTTTCTTCGTCGGATAAATATTGTCTATGCGTCGTGAATGTGACATCGCGTTTATAGACGGAATAAAATGGAAGACAGGCTGTCGTCAGAAGGAAGCCATCACACCCACGGTGACCCACCGAGCTTCCAGGTACGAGCCCGGGTTCAGCACCACGGAATCCTCGGCAAACGGTCTTTCTCGTCAGACTACGGTTCCAGCGGACTCGGCTTGAACCCGCCGTTTCACGGCCCGGGTTCCACGGGATCCGCCAAATGGGCCAAGCGATTCTTCGTCGTCAAGGACAGTTTTTTGATGTACTATGCGGAAAGTGAGAGGAAAAGCTTTGAAAAAAGAGGCGGCACTGGAGGCTGGTTCAACATGAGGCCGAAGGGTGTCGTGCCTTTGGGCGGTTCGAGCGTGACAACGTCTTCCGAGATTGGGCAGGAGTACGTGATACATATCACGAGCGACGAATTCCAACATGTAAGTTATTGAGCAAGTGGATCGAATTCCTGGTTTTTTTTATCTAAAAAATTTACTACAGTATGTTTCTTGCGCGAAAATATGCAGGGTGAACTGATTTTTGAGTAGCTCTGTTTCAAGAAGTATGGGAGCTATAAATGTAAATTTAGGCTTCAGTGGAAGTTTAATACGTAATTAATACATAATATTAATTTGCTGGTGTCGCGTCAGCTGAGTTGAACCTGTGGAGAAAAAGAAATTCAGGTGACACCTATGTGATGGACACTTGTATGAAGGACTCTGAACACCAGCGTTTTAATTGAAATGAATAATTTTCGTGTAACAATTAATTGATTATTTGTGTATTCTGATGCAGGGTCATTTGATGTTGGCTGCGGAAACAAGATCTGAAATGGAGCGATGGGTGCAGGCAATTGGAGAAGCAAGCAGAATGTAATTCATCTTTTTGTTTCCGTTTTTTGCGGATTCTTGTGCACCAACTTCATTTATTTTTTAATTCCTAATTTAACTTCCCTAGTACCTGGAACAACTGCCAGTTGGCAGAGACGATGCTCAGAGACCTTGAGAGCCAGGGTTACGCATTGAACAAGGAAAAACACATTTATTATGGTACGGTTCGCATTTTTTTGTTCGTTTTTATAATGATTATAACGAGTTTATCTTTTGTTAGAACGTTTGCAACAAGAGACGGAAGCGTTAAGACGGGAAAAAGACAAAAACCAGGTAAACATTTTTGTGTTCGAATGAAGGACATTTTTTTATTTTATAGTTACATTTGATTCTTACGATCAGGAATTGGAAGAAGTGAACGAACGCTTGGACCAAGAGAAACTCAAGTTGGAGAAATCGTTTGAGGAATTGAGAGAACAACTGGCCCGGGTTCAACAAGACTACGAAGACGTGTCCATGGCCATTTCCATCGTAGAAGAAGATCGTCAGAGCCTGTTGAAAACTGCGGAAAAACTCCAAGCATCGTTGAACGATCTGGAAAAGGAAAAGGCGGATATTTTGCTGACGCTTGACGAAGCCGGTGCTGCCAAATTGGAGAAGCGACGTGGCGACAGTTACCTTCGAGAATTGCAAGCGTGTCTGGACCTGATTGAGGAAGAGCGCCAGGTTTTGCTACAGGAACAAACGGATATTCGATCAAGGTTTGTGCGTCGTGTCTCCTTCATTTTCTTACTACACTTTCCATCGTATAGATGTCGCCTGCATTTCGGTGGTTCGAGAATTTCCATTAAACCCTGGTACTCGCATGGGAATTGAACTCAATTATATTTCAATTCATTTTTATATTCTCTCCAAGGCCCTCGTTCTTTCTAATCTTTCTATTTTTCAAATGGATTCGAATCTTCTCTAAATAAAGTATCATTAGAAAGACGTAATTGAAAAGTGAAGAGAGGGAACCCATTCCTTAGATAGAACACATGAATTTGGCGTGTGAATGTTATTTTCAATTTATGGTTATTTCTGGTTGAATAATTCAGTTTATGTTTGAAAAATGTGGCTTTGCATTCCTTTCACGAAATCCATGTATTACTAGGGACATTTCTTCACGGACGCATTCAAAACTGGTCAGAATTCAATAATATTGAACATTGCAAAGCCAGTTTGCTGTTGAAGTATGTTCTTGGTCACTTGCCTGTAGAAAATAAAAATACACGAATCATTTGATTTTTAAAAATAATAAACTTTTAGAAAACGCAAACGAATTGTTGATACAGTATTTTGCATTTGGAGATTTTTTGCTGAGCAAGTTGCGGAATTGGTCTTGTTCAATGATGATGATGATGATTAGATTCAGCAAGAGAAGAAAAAAAAAGAATATATTGTAAAAATGATGATCAGTGAACTTGAAAGAAAATTTTCAGAAAAATTATTTTTGAACCCGTTTTTCTTTTATTTTTTGCATGATTAGATGCCAAACGAGTGAAGCGAGGAAACAGAGATTGGAAGCAGAACGGACTTACATATCTGATCAATCGGATAAACTCATGACATATTCTGCTCTCATGTGCAAACCGGAAGCGAGTCCGGATGCCCCAAAGCGTGATTTTGAAACTGCTGCGTTTTCCCTGGAATCTCTGGAATCGATTTTGCTCAAGACGTCGAATCTCAGTGACCAGTTCAAAAGTGAAATCGCACCGAAATTGTTTAAGTTGAAAGGTAGGATTTCCGAAATTTCAAGTCTATTCTTACATAATGATTTTTTTTCTTATTTCAGATTATTTTAAAATGCCGCAGTGGAGGAAAAAAGTACCGGAACGTGAAATTGATGCATCGGGCGTTGCTCAATCGATGAATGATCTGACATTCACAACACCACAGAAGGCGAATGATGAGAAAATGAATCAAGTTCGGCGTTGTCAGACAATGCGTGAGTTCAATCACCTATTCGTAAAAGATTGATTCAAGTGGGGCAGTTTTCAATTTATTTCAGGGCAGAATTTCCTGTGAAGATTGTCTTGAACGATGTTCTGAGAAATTTTAAATGGCTTTGAATTTGTACGTACGATCCATTTATTTTGTGCATCATCACAGTAATCGATGAAGTCCAATATTTTTTTTTAGTCTGAATAAATATGCAGGTGATATCTGATATTGAATTAAAATTCAAACTGCTGATGAGCTTCAAAACGAAGTTTCATTTTCGTTCTTATCGGAAGTGCGAGAAAAGAAAAATTGAAATTTCAAGTTGTTGGATCGCTTCAATTGGTCGTGAAGTTTAGGATGCGAAGAATATGCATCGTTTTGACGTTCAAGTTCACAGTTTTTAGGGTCCAATATCGTTTTCTTTCGATTTTCAGGACTAACTAAAACCGAACCAAAGAATACATTGACTGCGTTGGTGGCTCGTAACAGTCTGCGACGGGATCCAAAGTTACCAGGAAAGTACCATACGATGAAACTCTCAATGAAGAACAAGAAGGCCGGGCGATCGACGAATGGAGCCCCGCATGCTGATGCTCTCACGGATCTTTCTCTGGCCGGCATCAAGGAAGTGAACGGGGTTCACAAAGGAGAAAGTTATTGTTGATTCCTTTTTTTTTATTATTATTTATCCCGAAATGCTCCGTGACAAGTTTTGTTAGAAATGGGACTTTCGGATAGTTGATGTCTTATTCCGGAATTTTAAGGTATTGAATCGCTGTGGTAATTTCCATGACGCCTTTGTGTAGGATTCTGGCAGAATCTGGAACTTTTATTTCGAAACAAACTTAATACTGGATGTACAATTTTATCGCCTAGAAGCCCTAGATTTTTTCTTCTCATGACTGACGGAGAGTTGAGAAGGGGTCTCATTGTCTAATGCTCGTTCATGAAATATTTTTCCAAAGTCTACCACTTTCAAGGCATGACTGTATGTTTTTCTGGGTAAAATTATGTTGGTCGTACATATAATATTGACAGTACAGTCAAACCCCGTTAAGACACCCCCAATAAGCCGCCACCTCGGCAACCGCCAATTTATTTTGAAATACAAATCTTCTCTGATGGTAGAAGCATTGGAAACCCTATTAAAATTTCATCGATAGAAATTGTTGAGAACTCGTATTCCTGTCACTTAATTTTGTCTTTGATTGCCCACTGACGTAATTCAAGTTTCTGATGTAAAATAATTATAGATGGCATAATTTAATTTTTGGGAGCCTTAGCTAGGTACTGTATAATTTACAAAGCCCAGGGTTATTTTGATTGTTTTCTAGAAGAGTGCAAATTTAATTTTCAATTATGCCCAATTTTCATATCATTCCAGCAGTTTTGATAAACCACCAACCCCCTTTGAACTGCCAACCCTTTCACATCACAGGAAACAAATGGTGACAGCTGATTGAGGTTTGACTCTTGCTCAAATGCTGATTGGTGACATGGTAGTTGGTACCAATTTCTCCTTTCCTGCACATTGTATTTCATTGTTTTTTAGTTTCCTTCACAACCTACTGTATTTACTGCGTGGTGGTACTTAGTCAGCCAATATGTGGTACAATAAGCATGTCTGCAAAGCAGTACTATTCATATAACTTTCAGAGCCAAGGCTTCCTTCTTTTCACATTCGAAGGTCAGGTACTTGTAAAATAAAATACGATACATTGCATTGAAAGCTCTTGACTATCCGATTGTCCCTTCCACCCGGAAGTTTTCAACAACAAAAAAGTGTGCAAAAACATGACGACGAAAATTGTGTTGGTGCAGTGTTAATTGCGGGAATTTTCAGCATTCTTTTTCGTATTCCAGAGAGCTTAAGCGATTTATTTTTTTGTACGTTGAGGGTGATAGATAATTCGGACAGGGATGCTTGCAAGTGATACTCTCCTGGTAAACGGAACGTATTGGAAGTTCAACGACAGAGCGATTTCAACGAGGAGAATCCAATGGAAGGTTGTCGAAGAGGGCTTCAGCACCATTATTTTGTATTCGTTGCTCATTTTGTAATTCAGTGGCTATTCCGGGTAATGGCATCGTTAATGACGAGAGGAGCATTTATGGAGTTGCAACTTTCAATGTACCTGCTATAGTGACCAGGTGTCATATTCTCTGGCAATTTTTATCTCCTTGCAAGTTGTGTGCTAGTGATGTGATTTCATCTAGGGAAGTGACTAAGACTTCCTCAGGGAAAAAATGCCTTTCTTTTTAGTTCATCCAGACGATATTGCGAAGATGAAAAGTTGCATTTGAGCAGTTGACCTAGAAATGCATATTTATTTCTTCCTGTTGCAACATTTGATTTTTCAAAATTGATTTTTACAATCGGCATTCCAGGGATGATTCCATCATTTCAACACTACGACGGACAGAAAGCCCCCATTTGATTGTTTTTAAGTGATCAAGAAATTACTTTTTCTCGAATGCTTGATTGCTCATCCAACAACTTGGTTGTGCTATGAGATGCTCGATTATTTTTTATTCAATCCAAAAGATAAATTTCGTTCTAATGATCACATGTATTGCAGAAGAATCGAGAAAACAGAACAGGAAGTCGTACACGCCAATTCGCAAAAACGAACAAAATAAATCTGGGATTTAATCAAACTTCCGCGATGTTCAAAACACAGTGAGCAACGCAAAAATTCCGTACAGCAATCCGCAGGGGTAAGCTATCAATGGCTGCTGATGCTCCAACTCCAACGCAGTAACGAATAATTTGGACGCCGAAACGGCACACCAACTAATGGCCAAAAGGGTACCCAAAATACCCAGGAGTCCTTTCAATGAGACAACCGCGGATATTCCAGCCAACCCGACCATAGGCAACAGGCAGTAACCAAGCACTGAAACTGTCACTCCCACAGAGACTCCGGGGACACTCATCATGTTCAGCAAGAAGTACATTCCCAGACATCCCATGACACCGATTCCATAGATGTATCTGTTGAAAAATCAAATATTCACTATCACAAGTTGAACCTCCTCCAGTTGAAAACCTCGCTAAATTGCTCATTTAGTCCCTGTCTGACTTTCCTCAAAAACGATCCACAGTCTTCACTGCATATTTACTTGAGTATCACATGCACCTTTTTCAAAATTAAAACATAAGAGAGTGCACATCGTCAACAAGAAGAAAAAAAACATCAAGAACAATCTCCGTCATTGAATTTTTTCCAAGTCTTTTAAAGATTTGGTGGGCGTTACACAGTACAGTACCAGATTCAGACAAGGAATATTTCAATCAAGTTCAAGAGTCGAATAACAATTTTTCCACACAGCTTTCTGTAAAATTAACACCCCGTCTACAATTTAAATTCTAATGCATTTTGTTTTCTCAGGACTCCAATTTTCAGTCAATAAAAATGAGGCACTTGTCTTACAGAGGGGAACATTTGTATCAAAATTTTAGGCTGAAAAATGCAGGTGCAAGCCTTACTCAAAGGCACGAGAAACTTGAGTAAATACGGTGATACAAACCTCCTGAACTCAAAAACTTGGCAAGCTGTTACATATACAAGCTTCAAAAAATTTCACTATAAATTATTTTAGGAAACCAAATCTAAACAAAGGAAATAGGGGTTCTTGTCACATTTTCCATACAGCTTCATGCTTCAAGAAGGAATAACAGATATTCAAAGCATGCAAAGAAGATGCCTTGCTAACCCTTAAATAATTGGTGTCAACTGTTTTGAGAAATGTATGATTTGTGATGCACAGTACATCTGCCATGAATGACTCATTTGAAATGTGTCATTTTTTCACCCAAAAGCTCCACTAGTGTATCTTTTTTACATGCAGCAAGGTAGAACAGTAATTTAAATGAAAAATGTATACATCAGTTTTCCAAATTTGATAAGAATCTATTACAAAAGGTTTGAAGCACAAATGGGACAGAATGGATAAGACTGCATACAGATTTACACATTTAATACTGTACTAAATTTAGTGAATGTATGATAATTTAAATTTTTGAGCCTCCCTCGATTCAGTGGCACTGAATCGGGGTTTGACTGTTGTTCGTTGGGGCCCCACCATTGTAATCATGCGGTGCAACGTACCCGAAATGAACTTTCCCGCAAAGCAGCAAGAAACCCCCGAAGGCGAGACAAAAGATCAACGGTCCGGCCATGTCAGTGTCCTGCAAAATCTGCGCGTCCGTCCGCTTCGCCGGGTTCAGCACCGCCAGCGTCTTCTGTATAATGTGATCCACGTTGATGCCCAGTTCTTCCAACAGAGGCCTTTCGTCTTCGAACCCAGACGCCCCCGGTTGGTACATGTGCTGTTGGGGCGCGTGGGAATACGAGGCGTCGTATTGTGGCGCCCGTGAGTAGCTTCCGCCGCCGTAAACCTGTTGCGGCGGCGGCGCACCGTAACCAACACCGCCGCCGCCACCGTAGTCGAAGGACTGGAACTGCGGATCGCGGCCGAAGGAATAAGCGTCTTCATCGTTGGGATAACCGGACATTTTCGCGGAACACACTTTTTTCTGCGATACGTAGAAATTTGAAAACACTGACGAATAAACAAGTCAATATTGAAAAAAACGGAAAAAAAATTTTTGTCTTCATAAGTTTTGCCAGTTATGCACTACACGTCATCAAAACATTCTGACGATGTGAATCTGAAGATCGATTCATGAACACTTAACTTTTCTTTCTGAGTCTCGTTAGATGATCACATATAGACAATTTCTACAGCGTAATCATTCAATAATCGTTATTCCGATATTCGCTCTCTCGATTTCAAGAAGACTGAAATTTCGCGTAATTGCAATGCAATAGCGTTCAACTGCAACACTTGCAGGTTATGTGAATTTGCAGGACGCTCGAATAATGAAATCAAGCATTTAAAATACTGCATAAAATAATTTTTCTCAGTGACGATGACCTAGATCTGAAAACCATGTGTACAAGGAGAAAGTTGGCACTTTCGGTGTCTCTGATTATTGATGAATGCGAAATTTGCATCGAAATGTTCACTGGCGAAATGGAAAAGAAATTTTAGCAAAGAATGATAGATGAAAAAATTTGGCATTAATATTGTACCAGTGTTTCAAGGGATTTTGACTCAGAAGCTCATGCAACGAAAGTAATTCTTGATAAAAAAAAAAGAGGCATATGTTGAGCACGTTTTCATGGATCTTCACGTTTTATTGAAACTAGTACAAGTTAGATTTTAAACTACTTCAATGAAGTTGTGCTGTTGATTAATCACGAAGTACTGGCAAAATTCATGAACATCGTTTCTTCTCGAGTCATCCAAAAACTTCTCCACAATCATCTAATTCTTAAAAAAAATCTTTTTCTTTCAAGTTTTTGCAACAGGTTTGATCACTACACTATCGGGACACAAAAACTCCTCATACGCAATACACTTGGAGCCGTTTTCTCGCGTCCACGACAAGAGAAACTCGACCTTCTTCATCATCTTCCNCCTGTTGCGGCGGCGGCGCACCGTAACCAACACCGCCGCCGCCACCGTAGTCGAAGGACTGGAACTGCGGATCGCGGCCGAAGGAATAAGCGTCTTCATCGTTGGGATAACCGGACATTTTCGCGGAACACACTTTCTTCTGCAAGATGTAGAAATTTGAAAACACTGACGAATAAACAAGTCAATATTGAAAATAACGGAAAAACAATTTTTTTTGTCTTCATAAGTTTTGCCAGTTATGCACTACACGTCATCAAAACATTCTGACGATGTGAATCTGAAGATCGATTCATAAACACTTAACTTTTCTTTCTGAGTCTCGTTAGATGATCACATATAGACAATTTCTACAGCGTAATCATTCAATAATCGCTATTCCGATATTTGCTCTCTCTATTTCAAGAAGAGTGAAATTTCGCGTAATTGCAATGGAATAGCGTTCAACTGCAACACTTGCAGGTTATGTGAATTTGCCTGAAGCTCGAATAATAAAATCAAGCATTTAAAATACTGTATGGAATAATTTTTCTCAGTGACGATGTCCTAGATCTGAAAACCATGTGTACAAGGGGAAAGTTGGCACTTTCGGTGCCTCGCATTCATCATCAATAATCAGAAAGTTGCCTTGAAATGTTCACTGGCGAAATGGAAAAGAAATTTTAGCAAAGAAAGAGGGGTCTCTGAAAAAATCTGGCATTAATTCCAGTGTTTCAAGGGATTTCGACTCAGAAGTTCGCGCAACGTAAGTAATTCTTGACAAACAGAGGCATATGTTGAGCACGTTTTCATGGATCTTCACATTTTATTGAAACTAGTACAAGTTAGATTTTAAACTACTACAATGAAGTTGTGCAGTTGATTAATCACAAAGTACTGGCAAAATTCATGAACATCGTTTCTTCTCGAGTCATCCAAAGACTTCCCCACAATAATCAACCTCTTTAAAAAAAATCGTTTTTTTTTTCAAGTTTTTGCAACAGGTTTGATCACTACACTATCGGGACACAAAAACTCCTCATACGCAATACACTTGGAGCCGTTTTCTCGCGTCCACGACAAGAGAAACTCGACCTTCTTCATCATCTTCCGAACCATGGATTTTCCAATCGGCTCAGTTAAGCTCGATGCAGTTTGAGGCAAAATTGAAGCCATTTCTCTTTGGAATTTCACATCTACCAGAAAAATAAATGCGCATTTGAATTATGAAACTTCGCGAAGTTTGCCTGCGCACAAACCTTTCTTTGTCCCTCTCGAAGATTTCGGGTCCAGCGACTCCTTCAAAATTTGATACACGTCCGATAAAGCAGCTTCCATGAAAGAGGTGTTCCCTGGCCCCTTCATCAATAAGCGGACATCTTCCCGAGAACCTGAACTCACGATTTTCAACTAGAAAAACAAAGATTTTCATAAGAGATTCTTTTCAACAAAATATCCTGCGGAAAACGGACATCTCAGCGCCTTCCAGAATTTGTTCTAAAAAATTACGCGTGAAAATAATTCATGAAAAGTAAGAAAGAACAGCAGTAGAGAGTATTAAGCATTGATGAGAAATAAAATGAAAAACTATGGAATGCAACTGAAAACGACATTGAAACTCACATCTGACGCTTTCGAAGCAACGTTATCCAGGGCAGCGTCAATTGAATGAAAATTTGTTCCCTTGAACAACGATGCACTCAGCTGAACGATCAATTCCATTGATTGCAGCGCATTTTCATGCAGTTCTCCAGCAAGGAATCTCACAGTAACCACGTATGCGGAAATCAGGTTCACAACAGAATACGCAATCAGAGGCGAGGGCTCCGTTTTCTAATCAAGCAAAACACGAACACATAATTNCTATGGAATGCAACTGAAAACGACATTGAAACTCACATCTGACGCTTTCGAAGCAACGTTATCCAGGGCAGCGTCAATTGAATGAAAATTTGTTCCCTTGAACAACGATGCACTCAGCTGAACGATCAATTCCATTGATTGCAGCGCATTTTCATGCAGTTCTCCAGCAAGGAATCTCACAGTAACCACGTATGCGGAAATCAGGTTCACAACAGAATACGCAATCAGAGGCGAGGGCTCCGTTTTCTAATCAAGCAAAACACGAACACATAATTTAAAAATTTGCATGATCTAAGCTGTAAGACAAACTTACGATAAGTTCAGACAGTTTTGGCACCATCATGATTTCAGGATGTGGGAAAACAGTTTGTGGTTTTTCGGAATTGATTGTAACATCTACAACCAGCTTCGAGGCTTTCCTGCGGAAATAAAGTCAATGGATTTTTTTTAAATAGATAAATCGATATCACGAACATCAAAATGAAAGTTTTGTCACTCGGGGGGAAAAATGACTGTATATTCTTGAACTTCACACGAAAGCCTTCATGACCCATTCAGGTGCTCAGCATAACATTTTTGAGCCAAGTTCTTTCTGTTCCTGAATTCCTTCTTTTTATTGCAGAAACTGGAATTCCACTACTCGAATCTATTTTTTAGACAATATTTTACTTGAATGACTTCCCCACGACCAAAATCATATCCCTACCTTCTCAATTGAATCTATCATCTACCTTATCCTACCTCACTTTTCCAAACTTCCCTTTTTTCAACTCAACTCCCTGCTTTAAAAAATCCTTTTTTTAATGTTACGTTTTGCGAGGGCTTTATAAAGGTGAAGTTGGACTTAGTTTACTGAAGTTAAAATACGTAAAGGTTATTACATGTTGCGTATTAAAACTACAACAAAATGTCTTATACCCCTGAAGCAACTTTGGTAAACGAGATATTTTTCTACTGTATTCAATTCACGCATAAAAACTTCCTTACAGCACCAAGACCCAACTGGAAATAATTCTATTTAATTTCGCAGATGAAAACAAAAAATCGAAAATCAGATTGAGAAATTTATTTCCCATCTTGAAATAAAAAATATGCAAAAAAATTGAAGCAAGCTTTTCTTACTTTTTGGTCCACCAGGGTTCCCACGGTGGAATAATTTCCTCTAAACCCGTTGATTGGATTAGGTTTCTAAACTCGGCCTTCTCTGCATCCGTTAGCTTGGCCCAGACTGAATCACAGTCGTCGAGATCAATCCCAGCCAACCTTTCTTCTAAATCTTCCTCTTCCGAGTCATCGTCGGAATCTGAAGACAAAAATAAAAATGAAAACATTGTGAATGAAAAACAGTTTCCCGCGAGAAAAAATTCTGGAGCGTCATTTCGAGGGGATGTTCCACACGGTGAACTCGGACCATTTGGAGAAATTAATAAAACAACGACGATGAATTTCAAAACGCTGAATTTGAACAAAAAACCTGAATACGTTCAATTACCAATTTTTCCAGAACCATTTATCAAACGAGACAATTGATCGTCAACATCGTCAGAATCTGGAAACAAAACAAAAAATACTTTAAAAATGTCGGATGAAACGTCGTTTTTACCCAAAAAGGTATTTTTCGAGTAAAATTAAAGAGAGCTTTTCCCACGGAAAGTTCCACACGCTGAACTCGAAAAATGTATCGAGATTTTTAATCTAAAAAGTCTAAAGAGTCTCAAGACGCTGAATTCCGGCTAACAGCTTGGAATATGTAGTACGGTATTGCACCACACAATTTCTTCAAAATTCCTCATCAATTAGACAATATTTTTCAAATAAATCGTTCAACACTACGACCGTCGTGCGATTTCTCAATACATCTTATTAATCTTGACGAAATTCAACAAACCCTTGTTTTCATCCATGAGATCCTCGTCCCGAAGTCTTTTCAATCGCTCCATGAACTCCGTTTTGTCCTTGGATGTGACTCCAGTGCCTTTCATCTCCGCTTCGCACCATTCGCGGTAGAATCCCTCGGAACAATCCGCATGTTTAGGGTCTTTGTAGCAGTTCAGCGAACAATAACCGGAAGTGCATCGAGGACACCGATAATCAGCGTTGTTTTTCTTACAACTGACCAAGAGACAGACAATTAATACGAATAATGGTCCAGTCATTCTATCTGTTTTAAACCACAGAAGCAATACTCACAATGCACACTTCACAGGTTCGATATTCATCTCGGTTGATCCCTGAAACCCACATAAATGAGTTCATCATCAATAAATCTTTCAAAACCCACAATAAATCGGTTCGAAATAATAATAAAAAAGCACGAAAAATCATTTCCATTTAATTATGCTCAAAATAATAAAAAAGCCACAAAACTCATCACGTAAAAAAACATCGTGGAATATGGTTATAAAAAGAAGTAAACCAACACGCACCCGAACCGAGCTGAATTGACCAACACAACCGATCGCACTTCTCATATGATACATGAAAAACATTTTCCCTGTCGTTTTGTTTCTTTGTATCTAAATTTTCCCGCAATGCTTTATAACGTGCAACGCGTTTCAAAGCAATATCGCAACACTTCCTTGTTCCGCAAAAAAAATTTCAATGAGGAGAACACACGAACGGATTTTCCCCTCCAAAACTTGAATGCAGAAACCCGCATGAAAGATACCAAAATTTCACCACCAATGAAAAAAAAAACGCATAAGTGGATCACGATCAATCCGAAATACAAAAAATCGAGAGCTGTCATGATCTTTTCAGGTACGCTAAGTATTTCAAAAGCAGCTATTTTTCAAATTCAGTTCTCGTAGCACCACATGTTCCTTGTTGTTCGTATTAGTAAATACCGCACAGTATTCAAATTTCATTCACAAAACTAAAATCAGAGGAATCGCCTAGAAATAAGTACAGGTAAAACGCACTCGTATACTTGAAAATATGGCATCTAAAAATGCTACAACTTGGTTCTTCATTTATTTAAAATTCCACAAGGAACCAGATTAACCGTTGTAAGCTGCTGTCATATCGCTCAGCATTAACTCAATAGTGACTGCCAGTGACATCTACCCACAATAAAACCATGCGTGAATGGCATGGACAACGTTCATCATAAGAATTAAACAATTCCTCACCGCAAAGAAAACTTTTAGACACCATATTCACCTAGAATGAACTGAGTCAGGCTTTATCCGAAGTCTGAATAAACAAAAAGCATCTTCCTTCAAGCAAGCTTTCTGACCCAGTCATTTTGCTGAATCAATTATCCCCAAACAAGGAAAAAAAACTCTCAACTCAAATTGAATGAATTCTCAACTCAAATTTTCTTTGAGATCCAAAATCGCAGAGCCAGCGTAACTCGACACTAAGTTTGTGGGGAGAATATCACTCCCTTCCCTGATCGACTCTTGGCTGTAGTCTCTCACCTCATCCCGCCCCTCATACATATGTCTCAACTGCGAGGATCTTAACGGGGGATCCAAGATCCCTGAGCACCCACTGGGTCGAGCAAGCAGGCTGCAGCTTCTGGGTGAAAAACAAGCCGAAGAAGCAGGCTAATACGGACTTTTTCCTTTTTTCCACTTTGACTTTTAAAATTTTTGTTTTTCCCACGTCAATTCTCAAGACGAATTTCCGACGCTCACGGCTCTCGTGACATCCAAATTCATTCAAAGAAATTCCGGATATGAAACTGTAGTGCTAAATAAAATCAAATACAGGTGGACTTTCTGTGAAACAAAAAATCAAGGGACCAGAGAAACATTTGTTGTTGAGAACCCCTATAACGTGGGGAGGGAAGTAAAAAGAAAACCCAATAGAACCGAAAAAAACATTCGGTATACAGAGAATATCGCTGCAGACAAGATCGTTTTAGAGATCGTTGTCCCCCTGTATCTCGATTATAGGCATTATTCAAGTTTTCAAGAAAACTTCGTTGTGAAAAAATTAATAAATAAACCAAAATGTGCTCTATTCCCGCGTAAATTAAATAAATTGAAAAAATTACCGGCACGACAAGCTTCAGGATTTCTTATGGCCACAGGGCAGTTGTGCCTATGGACTCGAAGAGGATGAGGGGCCTTGTAAGCCTTGCCACAGGCACACACATACGGCTTTTCTTGTGTATGACGCCTTTCGTGCGCAAATGCGTTACTCAAGAAGCACCAAAACATGTTTGTCTGAAGCGTCTTTATCTCTTGGGCCAACAACTCTAGTCATGGAGCGGTTTAGTGAACGCGGTGAGCCCAATAGCCTCGGATGTTTATTTTTTTTAGCGTTACCCGAAGAGTTTAAAACAAATTTTCAAGCGTGTGTAGCAGAATTTTGTCACGCGTTTTTTTTTGGACACAGCTGGGTTACGTCAAGTAAAAAAGGTAAAAATAATTGGGTCGGCCTCGACTAGGTCACCTCTCTTCATAACCTCCAAAGGCTCTGTCACTGATCCGAAAATAAAATTGAAGCTTTAATTTAATTTTAGATATAGAAATAGGGTACAGCATCTGTGTAAACAAAGAAAATTCGGTACTGCATGTCCATAATTCGAAGTATTGGCCGTAATACATATCCATTATTTGAAATTTTCAGTAATCAAAAAGCCGGTCCACCACAGAATTATACTGTAACTTGAACTCATTTCAAAGAAACTTATACAGTATTTAAAATGGCTCCTTGTGATTAATTGGCCAAGAACATCTGGGTTACGTAATTTTTTTTTCGCTGTTATATAGGAGAGCTGTTCAGGCGACATCTGCCCGAAGACGAAACTGTCACGAAAATTTATACTGTACAGTATTTTCAATATACAGAAACCAACTGCCCAAAGACTTTTCCCAACGTTGCCTCGCCTCGCTCAAAACTCATCAAATCAAACTCCAAAACATAATTGTCCACATCATTAGCCAAGGGCTTTCGAATTTTTTTTTCACCAATAACTGATATCTGTATCAGGTATTGAAAAGTCATTGAACTTACTGTCGAACAGATTTGTGGAGGGATAATGGATGGACGATGCTGCTCGCGATCTTCCGCTTCGTCGGTTCCTTCACATCGCACGGACTCGTGAGAAGAACCGGCTCCGTCCATGTTAGAATAATCTTGTCTCGAATCTGACCAAAAGTCATTCGCCTTCGCATCCTGATAAAAATATAAAATATGAACGACACAGAAATAAAAACATGCCTGGTGATCAGAGGACATCAGGAACATTTTCCGTGATTATTCGGAATTGACGGTTTCTTCAACATAATGTAAATGATGGATACACTTAAATCAATTATAAGAAATAATAACGAAAAATTAACCGTCTTGACTCGAAAGTAAGCAATTTTCATTTTTAAAAAACTAAGATTACATTCAAAATTTTAAAACGCAGGCTTTTGAACGATGTCCCTCAATATATGTCCTCCAATTCTACAATAGGATGTATTCAATACAGTGCATCACACAGAATCCGCCTTCAAACTTGTAAAAACGAATATAATTTTAAAATGAACCGATATAGATTTTGATCGACTCGGGTTGAGGAACAAAACGACGAAAACTTTTCGGTAAATCGACTCAACTCTTTGAAAGTGCCCAATACGACATCCTCGAATTTTTACCGAAGCACAGTACAAGAAACTACATTTGTTTTTTGAGGATGTCCAACAACAAAAGATGAGAAGCCAAATTCCAGCCAATAATAATAATTTATACAGTAATAATGATTGAGG